TCTGTAGTTACATTCCTTCTTTGATTTTGTTTTAATTTCCTTTTTTTCTACACATATTTCATAAACATTTGCCAATATATATTTGCCTTCTTAATGAATCATACTTTGGAATTATTATTATTATTGTTATTTGAGATGCAATCTCATCCTGTCACCCAGGTTGGAGTGCAGTGGTGAAATCTCACCTCACTGCAACCTCTGCTTCCCGGATTCAAGTGATTTTTCTGTCTCAGCCTCCTGAGTAACTGGGATTACAGACACGCACCACCACACCCAGCTATTTTTTTTTTTATTTTTAGTAGAGATGGGGTTTCACCATGTTGACCTGGCTGGTCTCAAATTTCTGACCTCAAGTGATCAGGAATCACTGATCAGGAATCAGTGGGGGTAACTTGTTCTCCCAAAGTGCTGAGATTACAGGCGTGGCCACTGTGCCTGGCCACACTTTGGAATTATTGATCAATTAAACTGCTAGTTTTATGTACAGTATTTCAGTTTGGCTATTTATATGCTTTGCTAATTTAAGCCTATACGTTTTTTTTTCTTTTCCCTTTTTTTTTTTTTTTTTTTTTAAATGGAGTCTCGCTTTGTCACTAGGCTGAAGTGCCAGGGTGCAATCTCAGCTCACTGCAACCTCCTTTTCCTGGTTTCAAGTGATTCTACTGCCTCAGCCTCCCGAGTAGCTGGGACTACAGGCACGTGCCACCATGCCCAGCCAATTTTTGTATTTGGGATTTCACCATGTTGGCCAGGATGGTCTCAATCTCTTGACCTCGTGAACTGCCCACCTCGGCCTCCCAAAGTGCTGGGATTACAGGCGTGAGCCCCTACGCCTGGCCATGCCTATACATTTTTGAACATACTTTCTTTCATTATCTGAAGTGAATAAGTATATTCTCTCCTGAACAAGGCAATACTTTTACTTTTTAATTTAAAAATTTAGCAGAATTTTGATCAAGGTGATCAACTTCAGGCTTTGACACTATTTTCTCTCTCCTAAAAGTATCAATAAACAGCTCATATTAAAATAGAAAAAAATATCTGGGCCCCAAAGCAAAGTTGACGATTCGTAGAGCAGAATTGGAGTAGAAACACAGTGTGATAAGGTGGTTGAAACCACAGACCTACCATACTTCGTGTGTGAAAGCAAGAGTGGCAGCTGAATTTTGGCTTAAGTAATTAGATTTAGTCTTAAAAGATCTTTGTTTGAGACAGAAGACCAGAATCTTATTTGTTGGTTGAAACCACTGGTTGATGTCAGTTACCCTTAACCCCCAAATCATGGAAACCCTTTGAAAACAAAACAAAACAAAAAACTCCTGCTGGCTTCCATGTGGGGGCTTCAGATATTAACAAGAAGCAGCCTAGGAAATTGAAAATACTCAGAAACAGCCTCCAATCAGGAACTGAACTAACTGTTCACCAGGCTTTTTGCATGGATCTGCAATATATCTAATACCATCATGGGACAGAAGCAATACCATTTAGTGAAGCCAAGTGGAAGCAACCGAAATCCACTAGACAGAGAGAAGAGAGCACAGAATTGAGGAGAGAAACCCAACAGACAAAATACCTTCTAATTAACATGACCTTGGAAACCAAAAATCTGAAACATTCGAATAGAATGCTGAGTAAAATATCTAGCATAGCCATAATCAAAATGAATTAATTATGTAAAATAATCTGAAAAAAATCAGATTTTAAATGATGGAATTTTTCTTTTTTCTGTAAGATAGCAAGACCTTATGCAAAGGACAAAAGGAAAAGAAAAAGCACTAATCAGAAAATTTAGAATTTACAAATGCAGTCATAGTAATGGAAACCTAATATATGGAAAAAGAAAACCTCAACAAATTGGACATTAGCACTGATTTATTTGTTGAGAACACACCACGAAGCAAAAGAAGATAAAAGTTCATAAAAGTCAATAAATATGAAGAAAGGAGTATTCATTTCATCAGAGTTCCAGAAAAAAAAAATTCAGAGAAACTAGGATCGAAAAAATAGTTGAATATTTTTCAGTATTGAAGAAAGGTATGGGTTCTCAGCATGATAAAAAAGGTAAATCTGGGCTGGGCACCGTGACTCAGGCCTGTAATCCCAACACTTTGGGAGGCTGAGGCGGGCGGATCATGTGAGGTTGGGAGTTCGAGACCAGCCTGACCAACATGGAGAAATCCTGTCTCTACTAAAAATACAAAGTTAGCTGGGCGTGGTGGCGCATGCCTGTAATTTCAGCTACTCAGGAAGGCTGAGGCAGAAGAATCGCTTGAACCTGGGAGATGGAGGTTGCGGTGAGCCGAGATCGCGCCACTGCACTCCAGCCTGGGCAACAAGAGCGAAACTCCATCTCAAACAAACAAACATGTGCATAACGTGCAGGTTTGTTACATATTAAAGTATAATAATAATAATAAATAAATTTAAAAAAAACAAAAAGACAAAAAAACAAACAAACAAAAGGTAAATCTGCATAGGTGTACTGCAAAGTGAAACTAAAGACTATCGAGAATATAGAGAAGTTCTTTAAAATTTAACAGAAAGATTTAAAAAAATTGCCTACAAAAGAACACTAACCAGACCGTGGAAGATGTCTTATCAACCTAACCCATGCCAAAAGAAAATGAAAAAATGTCTCAAAATGTTGAAGGTATACAACTATAAATCTTGTGAATTCAGGACAAAAGCATAGATCATAAGAATAATTATGACCACAGAATTGTATAAAATGTAGGCGTAAATTGAATCAATTATTCTCTGGGTGTGTGTGTGTGTGTGTGTGTGTGAAATAAGATTAACATTCTGGGCAACAATAATAGTGTGCAATCTTTCAATAAGCAGAGATTTTAATGATCATTTTTTGTTTGAGTATTAGTAAGAAATATAAAATAAATTTATACATTCTTATGAATATTTATAAGTAAGCAGGTAAACTGAGATCTTAAAACTTACCACAAAATGTATAGAGTTTAGAAACCTGGAACTGGGAACAAGAGGAGCTACTGAACATTTTATTCATCTAATAGAAGGGGGAGATAAATAAAAGCAAAAAAGTAAACACAAAATAAGGTAATGGAGAGAAATTAAAAAATGATGTTTTTAAATCATGTTAAAGGGATGGAACTCAACTATTTAAAGGTGAAGACTTCCAGTCAGTGTGAATTGTTTAAAAAAGTCCAGCAATTTGGGGCTGGACAACCAGTCAAATGGTTGAAATAAGATGGGAAAAGATATGTCAGGTAAATACTTTATTTCGTTGGATTTAAGACTTCCCCCATCTTAAGATGCATTATTATTTTATATAATAACAAAAAAGCCAGCTAACCTCCAAAATTAATTGCATATGCATCACAATTTCAGAGACATTAAACTGTGAAAAACATGTGTGTTAAAATGGTAAAGCACAATAATCAAAATAAAGTTGGTATAGCAATATTAATATCACATCAAATATAAATTAGAACAAAAAAGCACTAATAGGGATAAAGAGAAACACCAGAGAAAAATAAAGAAAAAATCCTAAGAAAATATAACCTTCACATACTTACATGGATTAACAGCAAAGCCCTGAACTATTTCAGATAGAAAGCACAAACTGACTGAATTACAAGAGACTGAGACAATTTCAAAATCATGGTGCGAAATTTTATCACATCTTCAACAGAAACTTAAAAATTAAACAGGTATAAAATAATTATAAGAATAGAGTGTATTTGAACAGCATAGTTTAAAAAGTTGATACAATTAGATACAAAGAGACAGAAATTTCATGCCTAATGCTATAATTTATTAGTTAATTTCAAACATTCTGTGCTTGTGTATTCCAGTTTTTTGACTTTTTATTTTAAACTAATCATGGAGTCCCAGGAATTTGCAAAGATAGTACAAAATCCTATATACCTTTCACCTAGTTCCCCTAAGTGACCATCTTACATAACTGTAGCACAATATCAAAACCAGGAAATTGACACTGATACAAGGTATGCATGTATAGTTCTTTGACATTTTATCATATGTGTAGATTTGTATAACTACCAGTGCTATTAAGATACAAAACCAGTTCATCACTACAAAGATCTCCATTATGGTACCCCTTTATAGTTACATCCACTCCTCTTGCCTTCACCATCCCTATTCTCTGGCAACCACTAACCTGCTCGCCATTGCTATAATTTTATCATTTAGAGTATGTCCTGTAAATGAAATTATACCTTATGCGACTAGCTTGTTTCACACGGCATGATGCCTCAGATGTATCTAAGTTGTTGCATGTGTTAATAGTTTCTTTCATTTTATTGTTGAGTAATATTTCATGGTATGGATGTAACACAGTTCTTTAAATCATTTACTCACTGAAGGACATTTTGGTTGTTTCCAGTTTGGGGCTATAAAATACAAAGCTGCTATAAACACTTGTGCAAATACATTTCTAGGAAAATAAATTTTCATTTCTCTGGGATAAACATCCAGGGTGATTGCTGGGCATATGGGAAGTTTATGTTGAATTTTTAAAAGACATTGCATAAGGCTAATCTTTTAAATTAACTATTATTTTATCCCTATTTTCAAAGAACCGAGAAACATGATGATTAGTAATCCAGGCTTTGAAAACAATAGACTTGATCAATTCAATAGGGGTTGAATCTGGCACTGCCATCATCAACAGTGAGACTTGACAGATTAATTAACCCTGCTACAGTTCTATGCCATTTTATCTCACATATAGACTTCTCTATCTTTTCTTTTTACCAGCTTTATTGAAGTATAATTGATGAAGACTGTATATATTTAAGATGTGCAACATGTTTTATGTATACATTATAAAATGAAATTAAATTATAATCTGACCATAAAACAATAGTCTATTCAGAAACCTAAAAATATACTCTATTAATAAGTTTTGAGAGAACATTTGTTGTACTTAATAATTTTTTTTTACAGTTTACAAATCACTATAAGTTTTAAGAGAATATTTGTTGTACTTAATACTTTTTTTACAGTTTACAAATCACTATCATCTTTAACATCTGGCTTGATTTTCACACCTGCCCTATGAGATGGGCACCACAGCATGAACGGCAGCTCAAGAGGTGGAATAATACCCAAAGATATGGAAGAGGTCAGTTGTAGTGTCCACTTCTAATACTGATCTCTGATTTTCAGTGTTGTCTTTGCTTTGTAGCCTACAATGGAAAGATTTTTGTTAGTGTTCCAGCTGAATATTCGCTATATTCCAAATAGTTCTAAGGAATTGATTTAAGGCTACTCCAGCTTCACCGTCAGCGAACATATTAACATTAGGTTTTATCATTGGGGCCAAGAGTCATGTTAAAATGCTATTTCTTCATCCAAGTGAAGGATAAGAAGGAGAAATAGAAGAAAAGCCTGCTTTTAAGATTAAACACATTGACAGTCTTCTGGTGAGAGGATGAAATGTTACCTAAAATTTTTCTTGGTTATTTACCAGTGCCAGAGCTGCAAAACCCCCTAATATATGAATATACAAATATACATGCATAGTTCTATGAACATATATGCATGTATGCAATTATATGAAAATGCTGATTTTGCAATAAATTTGAAAATATATCAAGAGCTATATATATTAGATGCAGATATCTTTGAAAATAACCTATAATAAGTGTTTTTTATGTTCTATTGCTAGATCAATTTTTTAAATCTGCCTTTGCCTGTCATTTTTTAAAGTTGATGATCTGTGAAATAGAACAGAAAAACCAGAACATTGATTAAATATATGTATGTATTTTGTACATATTCACACACATTTATTTTATGATATTGGTGGTAACAGATTTCTTTTAATGGTTGTTGGAATAATGGGTAGTTTGGAAAATAGTGCTTTCAATTTTGCATCATATACCAAAATAAAACATTGCCAGGTTAGAGTTCATCAAAAAAAGTTAAAGCCATAAGGAATCAAAGCTAATATAAGTTAATGTTCATTTTATCTCAGGGTAGATGGTATCTTTCTAACCATAAGTATAGAAACAGAGGCCAAGTCAGAAAAGAGTTATAGATTTGTCAACATAAAATTAGAATATGACATAAAATATCATAAATAAAATAGAAGAACTGAGAAGATACTGGGAGATGATATTTGCAATATGTGATATTCAATATATAAGGGTTGATATATTTAGTATTAGAACATTTTTCAAGTTTATCAACAGAAAACTGGGAAAATGGTAGTATAGGATTTTCCAAAAGAAATACAAAATAATGAATATATATTTTTTAAATTTAAGGATGTAAATTGTTCTTGAAAGGCAAAGGGAAAAGAGTATTTAAATGAATGTTGATACCATGAATAGTCATATACAAATGTGAACATTATTTCACATTCAGAGATACCCACACAGTACCTACTTTTACTATATGCTTTACATTTCCCTTTTTAATAATATTTTATGTGAATAGGGAAATGCCATTTGAAATAATACACACGAAACAAAACATCAATAGCAGATTTTGGGGGTAAGAATTGTATTTTATTCTCATACTTTTCTTTATTTAAAAACTCTGTAAGCTGTATATGTTTGTATACCCACACAAGGCATTATACCATATAAAATATTTTATATCTTGCTTTTGCACATACCATAATATCTGCAATTTCCCAAATAGTTATAATTTTATAACATTGATTTTGCTGGGGTCATGAAATTTAGTTAACCATTTTAAAATTTCTTTCTCCTACCTGAATTCAAACAGTAGATTCATTGTATTTGATCCTAGAAGTCTTAAAATGAACTTCTCACATTCCTTCCCCTGAAATATTTAAGTTTTCCCCGATGTTGACAGGGGAAAGCTTCCCAACACAATTCTTACAGATGAACTGTCATCTTATTCACTGACAAATTCTGTCTGGTTCTCTTTTGTCTTTATACACATATTGCATTATCATTTAATTTTAATAATTATACCAATATTTATTCAGAACTTATTCTAGAATTATGCTAAGTGCTGGGGTCTAAAGAGGATTGAGAAAATCCCTGTGATTCAGGCAACCTCAGATCATCAGGAAGTCACACGTAAGTGCTAAATGTTGTCTGTTCATTCAACTAAACATCCATGAACTTACCTACTTCTTTGAAACCATACACCCAAATCAATTTTTATAAATCAAATCTGAATCTATATATGCAAAGGCAGGCAGTTATCCATGTTATGAACATACTCATGTGATGCAACTGCTCCTCAAAAGACAGGAGAGTTCCTTTAGCCTCACTTTCAGAGCTAGTTTCCCCATCACATCCAAGAGCATCAACCTCAGTGACCCCAGTCAGTACTAAAACAGGTTAATGGCACCATAATTTAAATGAATTTATTACATTTTAGATACTACTGGTGAGTTGGACCAAGATGGTTTGTGGCTAGGACCCAAGATCAGATTGTCCATTAGCACAATGGGTTTGAAGCAGATAATGCTAGGCAAACACACAATTTTATGAGTGGCTGAGCTCACACTCTATTTGCAATGCACTTTTTGCAGAAGCTACAGGCAGAACAAGGACTTATGCCAAAGGCAACCTTTACATCACCTTACTATCCAGAAGCGTCTCTATCTAGATCTTACAATTCAAAGGGAAAGAAAAGACAAAGATATTGACCCCGACAATCACACTAAGGGAGGAAGAATTTGTCCCTAAAACCTGGAACAAAACTAGTCTTTCCTATAATCACAGGGTTATACTAGAAAGGGCCATGCCACAAGAAAGAGAGCTATAAATTTTTCCTTTATCATAGTGAAATTGTATGTCTAGCACAGTGTCCCAAGACATGTTTGTGCCAGGGTAAGGATGGGCATCTTTAGCTGCCATATGTTTTATTATGTTTAATAATATATTTTTATAAAACAAAACAAAATATGTGTATTGTCACCTCATATTTATGATTTGGTGACTCTCAATTTATCTCCCAGGAGTTTTTTATAAAAATAAATGAAGCCTGGGATCCATCTCGGACTTTTGGGATGATTTCTGGGCATCTGTATTTTTCATAATAGCTCTGAAATTGATTTTGATGCAGAGGAAGGGTTGAGAACCCCAATTTTATACTAAACTGGTTAGGGAAAATGATAAGGAGATAGAAAGCAAGAACAGGACAAAACTCCTAAACAGCAGTCCAGGAAGACCCCAACCTGGCACCAGGTGGTGCTGTGGGGACAACTCTGAGCCTGTTTCCAGTCTCCCCAGCTGATCACAAGGAACCCACTAGCTTCCCCAGAGCGGCACAGGCTCTCGGCAAGGAGGCAGGCTCCCGACCTTAAGTATTCCACCTGCATTAAATAAAGCGGGGGATGGAGGAGAAAGGAGAGGAAGAGCTCCTTCTTAGAGAGGTTCACTGTCACTTCAGGCGGTTAAGTGACGGGGTTCAACTTTTAGGTCGATCGAAAGAATTAAAAATGACAGTGATGGGCAGTTCTGCCTATTCTATTCCGAATGGTTTCTTCTGTATTTTATTTTGTATTTTATTCTGTTTCCACTACAGTTTAACACCTGAAAGTAGAATAACGAAACATTTCAATAAACATGAAATTAAAGTCGTTCCTACATAGCTCAACTATATATGTTTGTGTATATCTATGTATATATATTTATATATTTTATTTTCTTCCTCATGATGGTTTAAAATACTTTAAAAATCCATACAGATAGAAAAGAGATTTACATTGAATATTTTACATTCTTTATGTTGGACTATGTACTTATATACTAACACGTTCCTGTAACTGTGGTAACCAGTCATCCTGGTTTGCTCTGGACTGAGAGGTTTCAATTTTAAAACAGGGCAGTCCTGGGCAAACCCAGATCAATGGCGGTTCACCCTACTTGTAACCCGTATGTTCATTTGGGCTGCCGTGTTTTCCTTTTATTGCTGCTGTTAAGTTGGACTCAACACTTCTTATTTTTCACTCTAAATGTTTCCTGAATCAGTGAGTAACATAGATTTTTTCTGAAGATCGTGTGGGAGAACTGATGCTAGGGTTGACAATGCATACCTCTCAGTACTTCCCTCAGAATATTCTCATTAGTTATGCCTTTTTATTTCGTATTTCCCTTTTAGACTGCAATCACTTGTCCCCATCCTCAGTCTCAGTTGGTTTCCTTTCTTATCCAGGGCAGTTTTCCTCTCTCTCAGTTTTTTCCTTCAGACTTCTCATAATTTACATCACTGCTTGATACTGTGTTGAAATAAATGAAATTTTGAAGGTGTAATTGTCTCTGGGAGGCCGAGACGGGCAGATCACCTGAGGTCGGGAGGTCGAGACCAGCTTGGCCAGTATGGTGAAACCCCATCTCTACTAAAAACACAAAAATTAGCTGGGCGTGGTGGTGGGCACCTGTAATCCCAGCTACACGGGAGGCTGAGGCAGAAGAATTGCTTGAACCTGGAGGTTGCAGTGAGCTGATATCACACCACTGCACTCCAACCTGGGCGACAGAGCCAGACTCCGTCTCAAAAAAAGATATAATTGTCTCTAAGAAAGAAAATGATCGGCCAGTTGTAGTGGATCACGCCTGTAATCCCAGCACCTTGGGAGGACGAGGCAGGCAGATCACAAGGTCAGGAGATCAAGACCATCCTGGCTAACATGGTGAAACCCCGTCTCTACTAAAAATACAAAAACTTAGCCAGATGTGGCGGTGGGTGCCTGTAGTCCCAGCTTCTCAGGAGCCTGAGGCAGGAGAATGGTGTGAACCCGGGAGGTGGAGCTTGCAGTGAGCCAAGATAGCCTGACTCCCGCCTGGGTGACAGAGCAAGACTCCGCCTCAAAAAAAAGAAAAGAAAAGAAAAGCATCTTCCAGTTTCTAGTAGTCAGAAAGCAGTGGAGCATTAATAATAACAAAAATATTTTTGTTCAGCTGAATCACATATATGTATGTATCAATATCCATCTTTATTAGCTCTCTATATTTCTGAATAGATAGATGCACACATGTATGCACATTAGCATTCTTCAAGTCAGTGCTTTGACAAAGAGTTCATACTGTTGCACACCGTTCTGTTTACAAAAATAACAAATAGAAACGCTGTGATTCCCTGAAACATTAAAAACTAGATGTAATAAATTGTTGAGAATTTAAGGGAAATTCCTGCTTTAAGAATTGGATGGTGTGGTGTAATGAGTCTCTCTTTAATCTTGCCCGTTCTACCAAATTTTATTCATAGGCTCTTTCTCACAGCAAACGTTGGTGCGTAAACATTCTGTTTTCACTTAACAGTGACCAAAGATTCATGTTTACTCTCTTTCAAGTAGGTAGCCTTGTCAGATGATATTCAAATGATTCACATTAGTGTTTGAAGTTCAAACCAAGGAAAACTGTGGGTGTACACAAAATGTCAGAGTCTTTTTCTCTTGGCAAAGAATGCTGGGAATCTTACAATTAATTCCATACAGTAACAACTGAGCAAGTGTTGGCTAAAAATACTTGATTTTACTGTAAAAGTACTAATACAAATCTAATTTTAAATGATACAGTAATTTTTACATTACCCCTTCAGAGAGGTGAAAAGTATTGTCAAGTTTAATAATTAAGATAAAATGACAAACTTTCACAGTGTTTATTCTGTTCCCTCTTTTCCAATATTCTTTACATATCTTTGTCAGTAACAACTCATTACATTGGCTAAGATCAACGGAATTGGCACAGAAGTGAAAAACAGAGAAGAATTATCATTTTAAGCAGCAACTGATGTTCACTGGGGATTTATGTTATTTAATTTGATATTTGCAGCAATTTTTTTAAAAAGCTTTATTGAGATATATTTCATGTATCATTGTAACCACTTTTTGAAGACAGTATTTTATCCTCATTTTGTAGGTTAGAAAATGGTGCTAAGACCAGTGAATTCATTTCTAAGCATTGGTCTGAAGTTATATCTGTCTATTTTCAAAGACAGCGTTCTTTCTATTGCACTCCAGTGCCTCTGTTGTGATGAGTCCAGTCACTCTTTTGGCAGGAATCATCGCACTGGTGAAATTTTCTATGAAGAAAGAAGAATAGGATACAGGGTCTCAAGACATAACTTGTAAGCTATTAGAGATTGGAGTATCAAGCCATCTGATTGAGAGGAGAAGATTCTGGAATGGGCCCAGTTGGCAAAGTTATTTCTATATGCACTGGAATAATCAGGAGGGAGAGACCAGAGGAAAAGCAAGAGGTCCTCTTGTGCCACTTTTTATACAGTATTTCCTTTGATCCTTATGAACAGTATGCGGGGTTATTATATATTAATAGTAATACTAACTATTATGTACTGTAGTTTAGTCTTTTACAGATGACAAGTAGGGTTCCAGAAATGTTTAGTAACTTTTCCAAGTTTATACTAGAAGGACTGTAACCAGAGAATTCTAACTCCAAAGCCTATATTGTTTCTACTTTACAAAAATGCATTTACATATAAGAAAGGAAAGACATTCCTGGTTGATGACAACCAGTGAGGTCTCCTGATTTACCGTCAAGTGTTCCAGGAAGCAGTGGAGCTTTGCAGAGAAAACAAAACAGAATTTGGCTCAGTTCGCTAGAAAAGGCCATGCACGTGAGGACCCTACATTTACAGCTTTATTAGCCACACTATAAACCCCTGTCTTGTCCATCCCTTCTGAATTGGGGTTTGATCTTTATATCTTTTGAAAAATACAACCCAGAAAACATCTTTTGCATTGAAAGGTACAGGAAAGAAAAATGACTACAGGTCAATAATTACACAAAGTCATATCCAACTACTCTTGCAATAATTAAACTTGTCCAATCCCAGGGACAAGATTTGTAGCTAATTTATTCCTTAGCATTTGCTTGAAACATCTATTGCTTAAAGTTAAACTTGAGAGACGTATCACTGGGAATATTTTATGGCAACAGTGGGGATTAGGTAAGAGAAGTCATTAAATGTTTTTCACAGTGAAAGTACTACAGCTTTGCTCTATGTCCTTGAAAGTTGGAAATGTATGCTCTTGTGTGGGAGCAGTAATAAAACTGTTTCTGAGGAAAACTGCAGTCCATATCATGGCACAGCATGCAGAGGT